ATCCAGACATCATATATTTTGATAATCTCACGTGAAAATCTGGATTTTGTAATGTTGGGCCACAAAGTTCTATATGCCTTCCATTTGTGATTGAAGAAACTGTTTAAACTTGGGGACTATAAGATGGCCACCTTAAATGGCCATTTAGAAATGTTCAGTATTCCTGCCACTAGTATGGTTTTAAAGGAAGATATGATTTTGTCTTCATGAAAATTATCCCCTGGAGACAGTTTGCCTCTGTCTGTAGACATTCATCTACAGAGAATTGTCAGACTGTAAAAGGGAAGCACAGAGCAGATGCTCTGATTATCGTGAGTGGAGGTGCATGGTCAGAGCAGCTATCGCCAACAGAAGCTGAAACACTACTTCATTTCTTTCTCCTGCTTGAACTGGTGTTGAGCCCCACTCACACTAATGAACCTTGGTTTCCAGTGGCATTTATGTGCAGGTTATTACTCTCTCCTTGGGGAAGGGTGGTAACGATCGTGTGGTGAAGCCTTCCCCCCGTTTCCACTAAGTCTGCAGCAGACAAAGATCCTGTTTCAAGACCACGAAAGGGCTGGAGTAAATATTTTCAGTAAATACTGAATTAAGGGGTGCTTCCTTTTGCTCATTTGTTACTTTTATTTGCAAACATCATGGCTGAGAAAAAGTTGTAATAGAAAACTAGGACAATTCCAAGTCCTGCCTGCAGTGCGCTAGCCTAGAAAATGGGTGAGAGGACTGCTGGTTAGTGTGGGACACACACAGCTCTTCCTGTTAACTGCAGCCAACGGTATCTTAACCCGTTTCCTAAAGTGAACAAAATGGGTGCTTACCAAAGTTGCTGTATTTGCAAACCTTAAGACAGGGAAACTTGCCCCAGAGATAAATGGACAGGAGGTAGTAAATCCTTTGTAAAGACAGTAAAACTAAACTTAGTAAAAGCCCGTCATTTGTCTACTAGGAATTAGCAAAAACTACTTTTGCAAAGCATTTTATGTCAGAAATCTGGGGCAATAAGTATTTTAGGTCACTGTCAAAAAACGTCATCTCAAGTATTATCACATTTTTTAGGTCATGTGACCATCCTTATAGTTCTGCCCGGTGATGAGCTTTTCTAATTGTCGTAGCTCACTTGAGACTAGTCCTTGTAGCCACATGGCATCTCCGGCACAGAGGATTACAAACGCGCGTTTGCCACAGCGCCTACAAATACGGAAGCAAAATCTCCGAAGGATTTTCAAGAAAGGTACTTGGCAGTCATTCCTGAATTTGATATTTTGCAAATGAAAATAATTAGCCTAAAGTAGAAACTTTGTGTATTAGAGGAACCCCCCCCCCCCCCCCCCCCCACTACTTACTTATCCGTACTTCTCACAGAGTTCTTGGTCACCAAAGAAGGCTGACAGGGACTGGCTGGCATGTTTTAAATAATGAGTGTGGTGGTGGTGGTTGAGTTTGGGAGGGCAGACGTGAAGCAGAACTTTTGTAGTTTATGTACATTGTGGCCCCTTTGGGATGAGCAGCAGCTGGGCCTACAATTGCTTCCCCTTCCCCGGGACCCCCCTTTAGCTTCACAGACTTAGGGGTTAGCTGTGTGTGTTCAGCTTCATGATGAAGGGTCCTGGCTTTTGCTGGACATCTGTGCCACCAAGACCTGACCCGAGTTTTAGCCAATTATTGTGGGTTCCAGCTCAGGCTTGTGGTTCCAATTTCTTCTTCTCTCTCCAACTGTCCATCTTCCCTTCCCAGCTGCCCCTGGGCTTCAGTCTCCAGCATCAGATGCAGAGACAAACCGCTTTCAGACTACTTAACCAGCTCCCACAAGTAAGGTCAAATCCCTGGAACAAACCGCCTTTCTCTTGGTTCTGCTCCTTTGATTGAATGCTGAGTGATAAGAAAAACGTTTTTAATCTACATGATACTTGCCCTCCAAAAGTTGATAAGGAACAAAATGAAAGAAGGCAGTTTTTACATTTAGCATACAGTGCGCCCGCCCTATCCGCGGATGTGGAACCCATGGATGTGGAGGGCTGACTAAGGCACTTGGGCATCTGTGGATTTTGGTGTCTGTGGGTGTCCTGACACTAATCCCTCATGGACACCCCGGGAGGACTCTATCGATAAAATTACATCTTGAGGTAATTGAACAGTAAATATTAAACATCATTTGGGACATTCTATTCTTCGTGACTCTAAACCTTCAATGTTTTATGCACAAATCATACTTTAGCTAAAAATAATGTTAGTGACTGCACTAAAAACTTTCAGAAAGTTTTTAAAGTTATTTTTGTACATAACTTTTACAAAGTGAGACTTTTGAAAAAAGAATGTAAACATGTCGCTTCCCCGATTATTTTTCTAAGGACATCATTTAAAAAATATTGGTTCTCTCAAATCCTTTCTCTGAATTCTCTTAGATTGCTAGTAACACCTGCTATACACTAAGTATATTCTTTAGTATTTCCACTAGTAAAGAATTAGCATGGTTCACAAGTGTTATTTCGCTAAAGAACGTCTAAATGAATTTCACACATACTTTGGCATTATAAAATGGAAACGGCAACAAAAATAAAACTGAGTAAAATACACTCAAAAATCAACAAGTCCAGAGTTAGTCTCATTTAGAAAACTACTTCTGCTAATAAAGCCTTAGAAATAGACATATTCTGGATGCTCTTAAAACAAAAGTACCAGTAGCATTTTCATTACGTCCATAGTTAAAGTAACCACAACTACATGTACTTGATAGAGAAATGTCTTAGATAGCACAGAGGTGAAACGCATCACGTAGATTTGAGACAAAAGGAACGGGAATCTCAATTCCAGTTTCAAAGATGTCTGTCAACCTTCAAACAGCATGGACACTAAGCACTTAATCTGGTGCCCAACTGAAGAAAGTGATGGCGTTTTGCTAGAGGAAAAGTGGGCTTGTGTAGGTCACCGTTATGACACCCACGCCAGAACCTGACTCGGTTTTAAGATGCACCCCAAGGTTAAAGTAAAATTAGTTTTACTGTTCTAGAAGCCGTTCGTTTTTCTAAGTATATAAATAACATTTTGCTACCTTCCACGTATGTACAGATGGCCCCCAACTGAGAATGGTTCGACTTGACTTTTTGACTTCATGATGGTTTGAAAGCGATAGACAGGCATTCAGTAGAAAGCGTACTTCAAATTTTGAATTTTGATGCTTTCCCACGTTAGTAATACGCAGCTCCCTCGTGATGCTGGGCAGCAGCAGGCCCCACGACTCCATCAGCCACATGATCATGAGGGTAAACCACTGACACAACATTTTGTGCCCAGACCTCCGTTCTGCTTCACTTTCAGTACTCAATCAGGTATGAACTGCTCAACCCTTCCTCATAAACTAGGCTTCGTTACACGATTTCGCACAACTGCAGGCTAGTCTAAGTGTTCTGCGTGCGTTTAAGGTAGACGAGGCTAAGCTATGATGTTTGGTAGGTTAGATGTATCAGCTCCATTTTTAAGATATTTTCACCTTACGATGGGTTTATCAGGGTGTAAACCCCACTGTTAAGTCGAGGAGCATCTGTATAATCACTACCAGGAAGCATATTACCCAAAAGCCATTTTCACAAAAAACGAAGAGAGCAATATGACCTTCTTCTCAAAGCTTTATCTGCGTGCAATTTATCTCAGTGCTTTTGCTGAAACGTTATTCCAAACTAAATTACTGAAGCTTTGGAAAGCTCTATAACCAAACAGCAGGTACCATTTGCTGACCCAGACACACAAGGCTACATTTTTTTCCTAACTATCAACTACATTGCAAGGTAAGTATCACTCCGTTTACAGACAGGAAAATGGAAAAAAGAAAAAAGTGTACATCTCTCCAGCTGTGAATGAAGCTGAAATTCACGACTGGACTCTCACATAGCCACTGTACCTCTCGCTCACTCCTGAGGAAGTTAGGCAAATAAATAGGACAAACGTTTTTCTAACAAAACCACTTTTATTTTTTAATCATTTTTACTACCAAATACAGAACAAAACTCAGCGTGGAGCAGTGTGCACTTGACTTCAACTGGTGATCCATGTTAAAGGCCCGTGTCCAGTGCGACTCTGCCTTCGTGCATAAAGCGTTCACTGGAAAGCGACCTCAGGATGGATTCCCTTCACTGGAGCGTTGGAAGTCAGTGGCACTATTTTAAAGTCCAAAATTTCTTAATCCTTTTTGGAAAGTTAGTATGTTTGCATTCACAGATTACAAGTGAGGGAACAGACTTTGAGTAATATTAGGTTTAACCATGTGAAACAGCCAGTATTTTACTTGTTTTTGACTTACAAAATTGGCCATGTCATATGGTTCAACCATTATCTACTAAAAAAGGTTTTAAAATTTAAACAAATGTCGTTTGCGTTCAACTTTTGTGTTTAAAAATGCAGTGATTATTAGGGCCGTTACTAGACTGTCTTACTCGCTACAGACAAAATTCCTTTTGATAAAATCTTTAAAAAGTTACTTACTACAAACTGTAAAAACAATGCTGCTTTTCTATATGGCATTTCAATTTTAAAGTTAAAAAAAAATTAAACTTGGATAAAAGCTACAATTCCAAGTCTCATTTTTCCCTTAATCCCACTAAACACTATTCATTCATAAGTGAATAAATATACTATTTAGTATTGTACAGTAGATACATACCATTGACATTTCCTATACTATTCCAGAAAAGGCAAATATTTATATTTCACCAAAAATATAAATTTACTAGATACAGGTGGGAGCATTTGTTTATCCTAAAGTTCACTGCTTTATGCAACCCAATTCCTATACCCAAAATATGAGAAATAAAATTATAGTAAGAAAAAGACTTTTAGATAAAAATTAAACCAACTTTGACAAATCTGATGGCAACTAATCACTACAATAATGGATTTCACCTTATTACTATATTTCAATATGTGGATTGAAAGGGGAAAGAACTTGATTTGTAAAATGAATGAGGTAAATGTCATACATTCAACAGCGTAAATAAATACAGATACAGTTTTACAGGAAAACGAACATAAGTTTAAGGGTTTTATTATCAAAGTCTTGTAAAACAATTTCAGAAACTGTACATCAACATGGCACAGACTGTAGCCTACTTTTGTTTTTACTGCACAAAAGTGAAGCTTGAAACTCCTGTAACTAGGAAAACAGTTACCTAACTACTCTGCATTTAACATGGAATCACTGTGTGCATAAGATTACTACTGCAGTAACAGTAACACAAATTTATTGGTTTTATACAACTTGAGATCAAATAAAAAGTACATTATCAAGTAGATCTGTCTTATTTTAAAAGCATATGAAGGTCAATTTAAAATGCACTATCCCCTTTTTCCAACACTGAGATTAAAACAAATTAATAAAAGTGGAAACTTGAAAACCAGGACGAGAGAGAACTTTCTTTTCCAGATGGACTCAGGACAGGCAGATTGCTTTCACCGACGGAGATGTGGAATAAATTATTTCAGGAAAAAAAATTCCCAAACATCTTATGAAAAAGTATACAACTCTACTTCAAAATATGCTATTTACTCACTGCCAAAGACAGTTTCATTTGAAATCTTATTTCTGTAAAGCCTAATTAGCCATCAAAAAAGGTTAGTGCATATATAACCTTTCAAAGTTAAACAAAAGCCACAAAAATTTAGCCACAAGGCTTAAAGGATTATCTATTTCAAATGCTCATTACCAGATGTAACTATAAGAATGTTAATTTGTCATGTCAACAAAACAAGACCGTAAGTAGATCCATCATGTTGGAGAATTTTAATGACATTTAGGATATTCCTGCCACAATTAACATGCAATCAGTGCATTCCCTACATGGCTCTATCACGGCGATGAATCAAATTCTAGAAATACTATAAGTGAACTTAGCTAATAAAGGAGGTCATACAACAGAAACAGTCCATGCCTGCTGGAGACGCATGCAGCTTCTCATTCTTGTTACGCAGCAGCACCAGGACAGTAAACTGCTTGGCTACTCAATCAGATTTCACCATGTCAAGAACTGGTTACCCACGTGTCATTTTCTAAAAGCTTTGGGATGTAAATAACAAATATCAATATCAGGAGCTTTATAACCATTAAAGTAACTCGGAGCTGTATACATCTAGGTTTGAGATGAACAAATACAGCATTAAGAAATCACACAGAGGAATGACACTGATGCATGTGTACAGGTGGACTCGCACGGAGGCAGTGCTCAGTCACTCATATCCATGTCTTCTTCATGATGATCATCCCCATTCACTTTGGACTCTCTTAGTGAATCACCAGTTCCCTTTTCCACAGAACATTCTTTTGTTTTAGGGGAACCTGGTTCTGTTGGTTTCTTCTCCTCTTTTTTCTCCTTCTCGCTATCATACCCCTGTTCCTCTTCATCGTAATCCCGTGTAACCTGCTTTGCCAAGGAGAATAATAAAAGTAAACGTCTTCACAGAAAAATCACTTCTTAAAAGTACCAGTACCACCCAAAATAACAAAGTAAATTAGTATGTAAACATACTTTTACATCTTTATCACTCTCTGACTTTCTTTCCCGATCCTTTTCCTTATCTTTACTTTTCTTCTTCTTGCTTGTTGACCGTTCTCTTTCATCTCGGCTTCTTTCTTTGTCTTTATCTTTCTTCTTCTCCTTTTTATGTCTAGGATGACAGTAAAATGTTCTCAACAAAAGATGCTTTAAAGGAACCACTCAAAAAGCTTCCCCCTTAAATGTAGCAATATGTTTACACTTGTTTGGATGGCAAGCTTGACCCAAGGTCACAGGCTACAAAGAGGACAAAGACCCAATTTCAAAACACTGGACACAAGCTGCACACAAGACATACAGGCAAGAAGACCATCACTTGGTTATGGGTCTAAAGGCCCAATCCTAAACAGTGTTTATTACAACCCCATCTCAAGTCATACAGGGGACAGATCAATATGTGCTTCAGCACTTTAATTCCTGAAAAGGAAGAAAAACTTTAGGACAGTTTTAAAAATAAAAAGTACTGCCAGTTTCTGAAAAATAGAAAGGATCGATTTAAATGATTAATATTCTTACCTCCTAGGGGATGGTGAGCGAGATAATTTTCTTTTAGGAGACCTAGGCTTTTTAGGAGACCTTGTGCCACTCCTGCTTCTTCGTCTTCGTCTCTCTCTAGAACCACAAATGTGCGAACTCGACTTTAAAATACAGTATTATTGCAAAAATGCAGACACATCATAGCAGATGTGTCTACGACAGAGCTCCATGAGGAACTCCTACAACAGGATTCTGATAATCAAACTCTGCTTTGAGCTGAAGAGTCAAACGAATAACAAACAACTGCATTTCTTTTGCAAACTACATGCCTTTCTTTTAATGCCCTCAAGAAAACTCGAAGTTCTAGCAATTCTTCTTAAAGACATAATGTCATCAAGCCATTAGAAATCTTAAACTTGAGGAAAGAATGATTAACAAAAGTTCTAATTTAAAAGGGAAAAACAGTCCAAAGTAAACTATTCTTTAAGAAATCAGTTTTAGATTCTAACGTTCAGTGGCTAGAACAGGTATAGGATAATAGTGGTGATATGGGAGGCAGTTGCTAATAAAATACAAAAACAACTACTTTTAAATCATTATGTAAAATTCCGAGAAGCAGAGTCAGTGATAACATGGAGATCAAATGGACCCCCATCCTCCAGCAAACCTCATCCCCCAGCCCCGCTCTGAGCAGTCCGTGTGAAGACGCACAGCCTTTCCCCTCTTTAAATTGTGGCTGTAAAAAAAAAAAAAAAAAAAAAAATCTGCTTCTGTCACTGTTCTCAAAAGTTACAGGACTAGCAAGATGACCATTATATGATTTAGGCACTAACAAAACAATGAAACTCCATCCTTTCAGTTGTCTGGTTTCCAAATGAAGTTTTTTTTAAAACCCTCACAGCCCCCTGTGACCACCTCCCCCACTTTCCTGGAAATCTCATACAGAAATTTTCACTCCTCAAATATTTACTAAGTTTGTCAGGGCTGTATGCCTCATACTTTCTGCTATTGCTCTGGGTAACTGCTACTCCAAATTCCCTCGATGGAAGAGATTTTATGTTTCTGTGCCCCTCGATAGATTGTAGCACAATTACAAACACATCGTAGGTATTCAATAAAAACTTACAGTATATGCCTTAACTCAGAGTGATCCAATAATCATGCAGGGTAAGGTACTTATCATTAAGTACATTAAACAAAGCAATGGGCACAAAATGTTTCCAGGTTTTAAGGTAAGAAAATGTATGTTGTGCGTCCCATCTCTTATGCCCCCTCTGCCACCAATCACCTGGTTTGCCATTTCCTTGCACACTAGAACCTGGTTTCATTTCCTTTTTTATATCTTTACCTTTTAAGAAAATGTTCATCACCCTGAAAAGAACCTCCGCACCCTTGAGCTAGCGCAGCTCAACCACTAATCTGCTGTCTTTATGGATTTACCCATTCTGGACATTTCATATAAATGGAATCATACAACATGTACTCCTTTGTGACTGGTTTCTTTCATCTGGCATAATGTTTTCAAGGCTCATCCACGTTGTAGCATGTATCAGTACTTTGTTCTATCGCTGAATAATATTCCACTGTATGGATACACCATTTTGTTTATCCATAGTAGTCAATGGATTTGGGTTGACTTTTTGGTTATTATGAATTATGCTGCAATGAACATTTCCTTAGAAGCTTTGGGTGAATATATGTTTTCTCTCTCTTGGTACATCCCTAGGAGTGAAACTGCTGTGTGAAAAAACTGTTTAACTCTTTTAGGAACTGCCAAATTTTTTTTTCCCAAAGCAGCTGCACCATTTTACATTCACACCAGCAATGTACAAAGTTCCAATTTTCTCCACATCCTCACCAACACTAGTTATCATCCGTCTTTCTGCTTGCAATCAACCTAGTGGGTGTGAAGTGGTTCTGATTTGCACTGTTCTGATGACTAACGCTGAACATCTTTTCAGGCGCTCATCAGACACTGCATATCTTCTTTGGAGAAGGTCAGTGAAGATCCTTCGCCCATTTTTTAATTGGGTTATCTATGATTGAGTTGTAATAATAGTTCTTTATATATTCTAGATACAAGTCCCTTATCAGATAGATAATTTGCAAATATTTTCTAGCACTCTGTGGGTTGTCTTTAATTTCTTGATAGTATTCTTTGAAACACAGAAGTTTTTAATTTTTATGATCTCCAAGTTATCTATATTTCCCTTTTGTTGCTTATGCTTGGTGTCCTATCTAGGAAACCACTGCCAAATTCAAGATCATGAAGGTCTTCTGAGAGGTTTTTAGTTTTAGCTTGCACAGGTCTCTCATCCATTTTGAGTTAAGGTGTGTGTAAGTGAGCCTCCTAGTGAATTGAAACAATCAAGATTAAGAAAACACTGCAACAATACATGTGTAAATGAGACTGGAAGAAAATAGAACTACGTATGGCCAGCACTTACTAACATCACAGGAATTCCACGTTAAGTGTGTCTGTGGAGTAGTTTGCAATACTGAATTCTCACTACGGCAGGTTAAAGACAATTAGTAGTCTAAGAATAACACAAATCAGAACTTGTACCGCCTCCCATTATTTTATCGACGAACTGCTATATATGGAAAATAAAATTCTTTTGGATATTAACATGTGGCTAATTTAAATATAAATTAACATAATAGAATGTATTTAACGTAGGGGCCGGCCCTTTGGCGCAGTGGTCGAGTCTGGTGCACTCTGCTTCTGCAGCCCAGGATGGACGGTTTGGATCCTGGGCCTGGACCTATGCCAACTGTCAGCCATCCTGTGGTGGTGACCCACATATAAAGTGGAGGAAGACTGGCACAGATATTAGCTCAGGGCTAATCTTTCTCAGCAAAAACAAGGAAAACAGGGAGAATTCAATCTAATAATTCAGAATACTTTAGCCATTACAAAATGTCTAGGAAATAAACCACAAACAAACCAAATCAGGATGTGAAATGCATACAGTAAACGTAAAAACTAACCACTGTTGAATTCCAGGTTACTTCAAATACACTTTACACCACAAAATTATCAAGTAAAAGGAAAGATGAACTTTAGGTTATTCCTCACAAATTGTCTTTAAAAAACTTAATACTGATATACGTGCCTAGGTACTGGAAAACATTTAAAATTCACAGCCTATTAACGTCCTTGCAAACAAAGTTAAAAACAATGCCAAGAATTCATGATGCCACCTCACCTGCTTGCACTTCTGGAGCGTCTGGCTGTGCTGTAACTTTTTGGTGGTGTTTTAGAACGCTTCTTTTCTTTGTCTTCTTTCTTTTTGTCTCTAATAAATGGACACAATTTATGCATTAGAAGATTCAGCTAAGGTACATTTATACAGCATTACAAATAAAAACAAAAGCACAGTGAGATCGAATCCGATTTTTTCTTTTAAAGATTAGCACCTGAGCTAACAACTGTTGCCAATCTTCTTCCTCTTTTTTTTTCCTTTCTGCTTTTTTTCTCCCCAAATCCCCCCAGTACATAGTTGTATATTTTACTTGTGGGTCCTTCTAGTTGTGACATGTGGGATGCCACCTCAGCATGGCCTGATGAGTGGTACCATGTCCGTGCCCAGGATCTGAACCAGCGAAACCCTGGGCTGCCGCAGCGGAGCACACAAACTTAACCACTCAGCCACGGGGCCAGCCCCCTAATCTGATTCTTAAAATAAGAACGCTATTCTGAAAGAACTGTATAGAAACAATAGTGCTCAAGCGGTATATCTCTGGTAAATAACTGTTTTTTAAAAAAACCCTATTTTCTTGGGATTCCACATAAAACTTCTCTCCAATAAAGTAAAGCAGACTATGTGGTGAGAACACAATTAAGGACGTTGAGCTTCTTAGTAGGTCCTGCAACAAACACCAATACTTTTAATGATAGTCTCTGGGCTCTTCAACACTCCTTTTTCTCTCAGCTGATTGCCAGTTCCCCAGCCCACCATGACTCTATGTCCTCTACTCTCAGGCTCAAATCCATAACACCACTACCAAAATTAATCACAATACTATCAATAGTCTTCCAAAGCACACACCCCAACGTTAACCTCATGGATCAACCCAACCTTCTATCATTTTTCCTGCTGCTATATATTCTAGGCTGTTCAGTGCTATTGGAAAAATATCCCATCACAATGGACTGTTACTACAACCATACCTCACTCTAAATCTTCTTAGAGATCCTTGTAAACTTTATTCCCCACAGCAATTTCCCCCCGAAAGATGGCCACTCTCCCCTTCACTCTGGGGAAAGGATAACAATATATTTGTTGAATGAGATGTCCCTAACACTCAGAAACACAATCTTATCCTCAACTAATCTGTAGTTTTAGAGATTAAAGGATCACTTTCGCTGTTCTAGGCTAATCCTCTCGCCCTATATTCTCCATTTCATTCCCTCCCTTTGTTGGTCACCCTGCTCTCCATTCAAGTTTTTATCATAATCTAATTCCGAGGTTACTGTCACAGTTCCGTAAAGGGTCCCAGTCATGTTTTCCATAAGTTGATCTTTCACTCTCTACCAGAAATCTTACAAAGCACTAACTTGAAGGTATTAACTCCCTGTTCACCACTTTTCAATCTATTTCCACTGCCTCCTGGATCAGGTGCAAACTCCTTAGTGTGAACAACAAAGCCTTCTGTGTGATTGTCTTACACGTCTCTGGTCTCACTTCCTCATCTTCCTACACCAAAATACTTGCTATTTCAAGAATTCATGCTAACTTTGTAAACAACATTCTCTACCTGAAACCATGCCCCTCATGGAATCCAGTCAAATCTATCAGGAATTTAATACTCAGAGTCACTTCCCAATCAAGCCTCCTCCAACATCGCTAACAATGGCCCTTCCTTTGTAGTTACATCCATTTCTCTCCTAGGATAAAGTTTCTGGAGGGAAGGAATGCCAAATTCTTTTGTATGATAGCTGTTTCATTTAGCAAGCTTGTTTGCTTGCTTGACTGGATTAAGAGATGACTCACTCTGTAAAACATGACTAAAAGCCTTGTTACAGGCTGAACACTCAGTAAAGCTATCCCAGAACCTCTGTTCCCAGGTGAGTTACATGCTTACCAAGAATAAATTTTGTTGGCCTCCAGCTGTCCTTATATAATTAAATATATAAACGGATAAAGTAGTATAAAATAAAGGACTGCTTCTAGAAAATTAAGGTAAATATTTTAGAAAGAGATAAAGGATCACTGCTAAAAAAATAACTTTCAAAACTGTGTGTGTGTGACAACTATGAATGGGAAAATAGAATAAAAATCTAGGCACTTTATCAAGTGATAGAGTTCCCGTCGCTTTAGAGGTGGTTCAAATGAAAAAACAGTGATTTGGTATGTGTTAATCAAGGCTACGTATACTAATTTAAAAGGGTTTGGCCCTATATGAGAAAGATTGATTATTGAATGCATGTTTAAATCAAAATAAAATTGTTAAGGTGAGAATGTTTGTTGTTCGATGAATCCTCACTGTAACTCTCTACTGGTCCCAAATCATGAGGTAGGCGACTCTCCAAGTAGGGTTCAGTATCTGGTGTATAGTAATTCTTTTTTTTTTTTTTTTGAGGAAGATTAGTCCAGACCTAACTGCTGCCAATCCTCCTCTTTTTGCTGAGGAAGACTGGCCCTGAGGTAACATCTGTGCCCATCTTCCTCTGCTTTATATGTGGGACGCCTACCACAGCATGGCTTGCGAAGTGGTGCCATGTCTGCACCCGGGATTCGAACTGGCGAACCCTGGGCCGCTGAAGCGGAACATGCCCACTTAACTGCTATGCCACTAGGCCAGCCCCTGGCGTATAGCAATTCTTAATAAATGTTTTTTATAAGGTGTTAATGATAAGATATATAAAGATAAATTAAGGCATGGTTGTCTGCCATACAAACTCTTTTGGCATAGCATGAGGAATGACTGACAGCATTAACTCCTTAGCAGTAGTTGCATGGAAAGAAGGAAATGAAAGAAGGTAGTAGGATAGCTAGAATTTTTACTACAAACAAATTTTATCTAAGTCTTCAGCTACAGGCAGAAATCTCAAGTTTACACAGGAGAACAAGAGAAGAAATATGAGCCTCCTCAACTTTGAACAGTTTCTTCCCCAGTCTGGCCCTATCACTCATCATTACCTCTTTTATCATCAAGCAGCACAATATTTGAGGTCTTGAGAACTTTAAAATTTATCTTCCCGCCCAATATTAACAGTCTGCCGTACCTGGTTTTTGACGTGCTCCTTGACCGTCTGCCTCTCTCTCTAGAATGAGATCTTCTCCGTCGTGGACTTTTGGACCGTCGCCTACTCCTTGACTTAGAATGCGATCTCCTCCTCGATCTGCTTCTTGACCGCCTGATAATATAAAAGGATGCCAACACATGTATATAAATGGACAAAGACTAGCTCTGTGTGAGACTATTTCACTTAGCATCAGACAAAAGATTCAGACATATGGGCTAACCATCAGTAAGGTGGGATAACTTCCCATCAGTTGCTGCCATTATTTATTTAGCCCATACAATAAACATCTTTGACACTCCAGAATTTAGTAATACCTTTTAACACCTGGAATTCCTCATCTTTTAATCTTTTGGTCAACCTGTAATACTAGTCCTTCCATGCCCACTGAAATTACAACTCTGAACTTAAAAATACCTCTTGAGAATAAATGAAAATAAAAAATATCTGGTTCATTTGCATCATCTTTCACAATTACATAGCACTTTAATATGCATTTATTTGATTCCTCAATATTGCAGGCTAACTCTAAAATTATCAAACACTTATATATGCTTATCAGTGCTTTACAAATACTAACTTATTTATCCTCATAAGCCTATAAAGTAGGTACCACTACTATTCCCATTTTATAAATAGAAACCACAGTGTGTGCTGCCTTCTATGACTTCTGATTCTTGTTCTCCAAAATATATTTCACTTCTTTGATTTACACTTTAAGAGAAATTCAAGTAACGCAGGCCTCATGTAGATATACACAATTCAGTTCAAACTGCCTCTTTTTCTCTCATTTCCACTCAACATACCACCGTCTCTATATAATCATCTCTTTCCAATCATGTAACAGAAATGTTTCTCTCTGTACCCTCTCCCCCACTTCTATACTTTCTCTCTCAGGACTGAAGCACAATTAACCTTTGAGGTTGTCACTGATCCTCCTTCCTACATTTTATTTTCTTCTATATTAATAATAGTTAAAAATAAATTACAGTCCTTTGCTTAGACTTGATCATTTAACTTCTAGTGACCACTCAACCTCTTTCTATGAAAAATTTCAAATACAGTCTAAACTTTTTGCCTTCACTTTTTCAAGGTGCCAGAGGATAGACATTTTAGAAATGGAGATTTGTGTTCAACTATCATTTATAAACCAGCTGAGAGCATTCATTATTTACCCTCTTTGAGGCTATTACTTTGGCAGTCGAAAAAAACCAATAAAGGCACTTATATCACAGAATACTTGTAATTGAAACAAAATTATGAAGTCCAGCTCAGTGGCTCAGGCATATACATTAAACACTGACTCCCTTCTTTCCTCTTACCGATATGCTAATATAGCTTTGGTTGCCATCATTCTCCAAAACAGCAGTTTCAAAACACATCAGTAGAGTCTGATCAAATTCAATAAATTTTTATTTTAATCATTTCTTATTTTTTACTATATCTGAAACTATTTACTTAAACAATCCCTCTCAATAACATGACTGTATCATAGGAAATTTTCCTGTAATGCTTACCTTATCTTTCTGTAAGCTCCAAAAGGACAAGGAGTTAAATATGTTTACCTTTTTCACCACTGTACCCTTGGGCAATTACTATAGTGCCTGACTTCACTTACTAGCTTATGTGAGCTTTTCAACATGGAAAAATACAGAGATTAGCACATTATATATCAAAGTAAAAAAGCTTATTGGAAGTAACGGTCATTTTATATGCCAAGATGCTCAAGATACTACACAACCCATAACAATTAGGTGTTATGATGTGTTATTACAAGTGTCCAAAAACACTTTGTTCAGGGAAACAAAGGTTTCACTGTTATTTCCCACTGGTCATATAAAGTAGTTCTAACTAAAATCTGAGAGTCCTACCATGTACTTGGTATACACAGAAGAAAAAGACACAGGCTCTCTTTTTGCAAACGTTTTCAAGTGATACATGAAGCTATGAGAGCACTGTTCTGGAAGATCAGGACTGTAAGTAGTAACAACACTTCACATAAGAATAAAATTTTAGCTGTATCTGGAACCGAGAAAAAAGGAGTTTCTCTTATGAGATGAAGATGTGGGAGAAAGAGCTTTAGGTGGAAAGGAACATCGTGAGCAAAAACACGGAGGGATAAGGAAAACGACATGTTCAGGCAAGTAATACTGTGGTTAACTGTTTGGAGTGGCAAATGATGAGTGTGGAAAGATAAACCAGGCTGAACACTGTGAGACGGTATTTTGAGGTGGGCCCTGGGGAGGTGATTAGGTCCTAAGGGTAGAACTTTCATCAATAGGATTAATACCTTTATGAAAGAGATCTCAGAGACCCCTCGCCCACTCTACCACGTGAGGACACAGAGAAAAGATGGGTGACAACAAGCAAGGAAGTGAGTCCTCACCAGACACCGAATTTGCCGGCACCTTGATCTTCCTAGCCTTCAGAATAGTGAGAAACAAATTTCTAGTTTATAAGCCACCCAATCTATGGTATTCTATTATAGCAGCTGAATGGACTAAGACGAAGTCCAAGAAACGACTTGACAAGGTCATTCGACCACAAGGTTGAAATTATTTCCAAAATAAGACGTTATTTGCCCTTTTCATCACTGTGCTGACGTGCATGAACGTGGAAAAGCAAAGGTGGTGTAAGAGTGCTGGCATTTCCTTAGCAGAAATCAAGGGAGCGGCAACAGAACTGCCCTAGAAGTCACTGCATTGTTCACTGGCATTTGCAGTATGCACTTGCAGTACAAGAAAAGAGAAATAAAAAGCCATTTTCACTAAGGATGTCCTTGATGAAGCAGTAAAAACTACTAACTTTATTAAATCTAGTCCCTTGAGTACTATTCAAGTAGTAGTAGTATTGAGGAGCAACACTGTACCTAGTCCCTTGAACAATATTCTGTGCGATAAAATGGGAAGTAGGCATAAATCACTTCTGATACTTATTAAAGTTCAATGGCTGTATCAAGGAAGACACATGATTGAGTTTTGAGCTTAAAGAATTGCTTCTCCCATGAAACATCACATTTACTTGAAAGAACAACTGACAAACTACGGTTATTCAGACTTGGGTATTTGGCAGACATTTTCTTGAAAAATGAATGATGCCTATCATTTCAAGGAAAACAACTGAATTTGTTGCCAATAGTAAAATCTGAGCTTTCAAGAGAAAATGAAATTCTGGAAAAAATCAATCCACAATTGTGACCTTGACATCTTCCTAATACTTAAGAGTTTTCTGATGAGATTTGTGGTAATATTATCAAGTGTCATTTTTTGCTATTGTCTAACAAAACGTGTTAACATTTGAAAACTTGCATAACGCAATGAATCAATTATTCTGCAAACCACTGATGCATAATTTTACAAAAGCACGCCTGGGAAAAAGATCCATTCAAAATGTAAGGAAGATCAATACATTTTTATGCAACAGAATATGAAAGGTTCATTATTATGGTTTCAGATTCCATATTGCAATTATCTTTTAAGAAACTATCACTTGTCAAGTTTTGGTGTTATGTCAAAGAATACTCTTCACAATCACCTGAGAAGACTATAAAATTACTTTCCCCTTTTTCCAACTACATCTTTGTTTTGTGTGAAGTCAGATTTTCTACATACGCTGACCAAAATACACTGCAGTTAGTTGAATACAGAATGCTATACCTGTCTTCTATTAAGCTAAACATTAAAGAGATTTGCAAAGAAGTAAAACAAAGCCACTCTTCTAATTCTTTTGAAAAGTTTTGTTTCAAAGCCATGCTAATACGAACAGGTTTACTACTGTTATTTCAAATGAGTTTTAAATTTTAATATGGTCAACATCGATAGCTATTAGTGATATACACAAAAGCTCTTTGGGCTTCTCCTATTTTCTACAAGTATAAAGAAGGTCCTAATACCAAAGCCCCTGGTCTAAAGAAAACCTTATACATTTATACAGGGACATCATGTAGAAAAGAGAATAAATTGATTTAGTCTTACTCTAGGCAGGATAAAAGGACGATACTCAAAAAAGCACAGCAAATCGTCACTGCAAATATTCATGCATTAGATGGGTAATCTGCAGGTTGTATAATGACCTCCCAAATTAAAATTTCAGAGTCTAGTGGAAAGTCAGAACTAGAATTTACAAGTTTCAAGTACACTGTTCTTTGCATACTAACTCAGTTTAGTGTTCATATCCCAGCACCTAGTCCTCTGATCTCTGGATTGTTTTGGGTTTTAAAGGATCAATCATCTATTTAGCCTATCCCTTTTCTCCATTTATACATATGTGAACACTTGTTCACACACTCTGCTAACAGGAGTGATTAGTAAAACACACTTTAACCAGGAGCTAGCAGGTTAACAGGTAGCAAATTAAGAAGGATGCAAGATACAGAAATTCCCTGTGTCTAAGGTACAACAGACTATCAAGAGCAATCAATCTAACCTGTGCCTGGAAGATGAGGGAGTCCTCCTCCTCCTGGAACGTGACCTTGATCGTGAGTGCCTCCGTTTTTCTTCTTTTTTATCTGGATTTAAAAGAAAAGGAATCTAGATTTAGAAATCATCAAACAAATGGGAAGATTATTCCCATTCAGAAGTTACTGTAAGAATTTATCTTAATTTTTAGCTTTTATATATAATCTTTAAATGTTATAAGCGATCATTTTACAGTGAGAATGCATCACTTAACTAAAGCTTCGACAAATTATCAAGGCTTTTGGTAGATCCAAATGAGAATTCTAATTTTCAGTTATCCAAAGGTTCCCCTGACTATTTCATTTGCTAGACTTGGGAGGCTGTGAAGTGTCGTCCATAAAACTCTCTATGAAAAGGATTATCTTCCACATTCTTTATTCTTTAGAGGTTTCTAAGTGAAGAGTCCCTTTTTCCATTCCTAGGTTCTACTTTCCAAAACATAGCTACAATTCACACAGATTAAAACTTTAATTTTCACACGTTTATGTATTAACATCTCCCCAACCAGCATTTAACTGTAAAATAACTAAGTTTACAATAAATAAAAATATATATATTTTAAATTCTTGCTCCAGCAAATGTTCTTTCTTCACCACTTAGCTCTATGTTCCTTTGCTTAAATAAATTCATGTATATTTACGTTAAAGACGCTGATACACGGGCTCCATATTTGGCCTCCAGATCCAGAAAGTCACGATTCATTCACTGTTCTCACTGTATTCTGTGACAGAACTGGATATTCATAAGCTAGCTCTCTTCTTAATCTGTCTCCTCTCCTTCTCAAAAATTTTCAATTGTGTTAAGTGTAGGAGACAGATCTAGAATGATTTGTCTCTATTTCCTATTTTTTAAATGACACAAGAAATTCACTTAACTTGGGAATAACAAGAGAAATAAAGCCACTGCATTCTTCACACATGGACAAAGTGAGAATGAGTTCCTCTTTCCCATTTACATCATTTCACTAACAGGATGCAATTTATTGTGAATGTCATTATTAATAATAAAATAACAAAAATGGGGGGGGGGAGGAATTCATAAAGAAACCACTTTTAGTCATTCCAGTTATGAGTTTTCAACAAAAAGAGAAACAGTTCTGCATGGCATTCCAGCTTTGGAGTCACAGATCCAGTAGTGTGTCTAAAGCTCCTCCTGCTTACCATGGGGCGTTGGGCTAATTATATAATATTTTGCTGATTAAATGAGCTAACACACATAAAAGCACTTGGTAATAATTTAGCCAATATTATACTTAAAAAGCATTTGTCTAATACTATACATATTAAAAGCCTTCCTACTTATAAATAAGAATTGAAAATTAATAAAACATTATTTAATGGAGGAAAAAAATCCAGGACCAAAGATCCAAATATATACAGACAGACAATGAGATGACCTTTCATTTCATCTTGAAAAGACAATCTGCAAAGAATAAGGTACTTGTTTTTCTTTAAACAAATGACAAACAGAAGCATCTACAGTAGGTTCTCTTGGTCAAAGACTTAAAGACTAAAATCAATTAGGCTATCCCAACATAGGAAAACATAAATGATGAAAAACCACCAAAAAACCATAAACTAAAAACAACCAAAATACCACACCAAGTATTAGATAAACCTAGGCACTGCTAAGATTTTGGAATGGATCATCCTCTGCTTGGGAGGAGGGAGGTGGCACCTGTCCTGTATACAGAGAATGACGTTTAGCCCTCAACCAGCTAGATGCAGTTGGTATCGGCATGATAACTAAATGTCTCCAGATATTCCCAAATATGTCTGGGTAACAACTCCCCACCTCCCCATCCCCCAACTGAGGATTGTTCCAGTACACGATCTTTTATCAGAACTTGGAAAATCAAAAAACGACTAGAGTATTATTTGACAAATTTCCAAACTTATTCAAGAATCATTTTTGCCAACAATCATATAACTTAAGATTCAACACAATCGCATAAATGTATTTTACCTGGTTCTATAGCAGCAGAAATAAGGGACTGTGCTTCTCGTACTCTCTTCATGGCTTCCTCTATTTCTTTACTAGAGGTATCTGATTTCAGACTTGGTGAAACAAGACCAGCAGCTACATGATTCAACCTGAAACAGAATCAAAAATTGAGATCTGAAATATTTAAAAATGCAAAACAGTACTCAAATAAATATAATACATGTTTCAGCTATCATCATTTTAGTAAGATACTCCTTGAAAAAGAGGGGGAGGATTCCAATTTTGGTAAAACCATATACAGTCTAGTATCCTTTTGAACATTTACAATGGCACTTGCACTTTAAAGACTCAGAGATACCTGGAATAAGAAAAACATCTATTTAATTTTGCTGAACATCCATTAACATTCTATAAAGACATTTTGAGAAAGGCTAGTAGATAGGAACATGCTGATGCTGAAGATTTCTGATTAACAGAACTCTCCATCAGATTTAAAACCTTTCTGCAACATCATAATTTTGTTGTGGAAGAGCATTACTTTTAAGTTTGCAGATGGGGAGAAACTGATGCAGAGGCCAATGGCACACAAAAGTTACTCATCAAATTTCTGACAGGAAAGGCTACACATGCACCTTAGTGTTTATACATGTGAGAAAAAATTAAAGACACCAAATTTAGGATGGTAGTTATCTGTGGGAAGAGTGGGAAATACAGACAGAATGGGTACACGGGGAATTCAACTGCATTGATGATATTTTATTCTATAAGCTGGGTGGAAGATATATGCTTGGATTTTATCTAATCATTTTTAAGAAAAAAGGCGAATAACTACTAACGACTATAGAGTCTGCCCTCCCTCCCCCCATGCTCTCCCACTTACTGACAGTGACTTTCACCAAGTTAAGGAGAAAAAGGATTAAGTCCAAATTTAATATACCAAGAAATTACCAATTAAAACATCTTATGACTGTTATATATCAAGCAGGAAACCTAACAGTTACTGCATAAAGAGAACTTTTCAAAGCACCTAAAAGACAACGTTGGCAATTATTGTGTGATATGTACTACTCCTTTGCTCTAGGATAGTGCTTTCCCCCCTTCTGCCTCCCCAACATGGATTCATTCCCTGGGGCTTAGCTTCTGTGATCTTCAAACTAAGTTCTTCTCCATGTAGTAAGCACCTCTTACTTCCTCTGGTTGGATACACATGCTTTACTGTATTGAAATAATGTCTCCCATCTTGACTACAACATAAATGCTACAAAGGCATGAGCTTATAGTAGGTAGTCAATATATATTTTTCAAATGAATCAACTAAAGATAATGTTTAGCTCTTTTCCTGTTATCCCGGGATAAGCTTTTTACAACTATTTTGAAAGACTCAAATTACACTAAAACAAAACCCTTTACAGACGGGCTTGTCTTGGGTTTCTCTCCTTGTTTCTTGAAAACAGAATTATATATTGCATGCCTAGAAATAACTTTCTTTTTAACTATCAAAAAATAACTGTTCTCTAAACATTCACATACTATATCCATATCACAGTGGATACAGAAAAAAAATCCTTACTTGGGATCAACAGTACTCATAAGCTTCAGCAACTGATCTGCAGCAAGAGACTGCAAAAACAAAAATATAACAGTGAGAACACACAAAACAATTTTTCAGTATGTTGAACTATCCTAAGACAATCTGGTAAAGCTCCAAAAAGTAACATATTCTAAGCATAACGATGACTAACAGAAATATAATGCCAGACAAATGTCACATTATAAGGTGTCTAGTAGCCACATTAAAAAAATAAAAAGAAACAGGAGACATCAGTGGCTATAGTACTGGATATTCAGAGCTGCTTTAGCAAGTGAAATATAAAGATTGCGAAGCTGAACAGTCTAGATCTTACTTAACAATTACCTGCTGCTTATTTTAAGACTTTCTGAGGGAAAGTAACATATTAAAGAAACATGTAGGGCCAGCCCAGTGGCGCAGAGGATAAGTTCCCATGTTCCGCTTAGGCAGCCCGGGGTTCACCGGTTCGGATCCCGGGTGCGGACATGGCACTGCTTGGCACGCCGTGCTGTGGTAGGCGTCCCACATATAAAGTAGAGGAAGATGGGCACAGATGTTAGCTCAGGGCCAGGCTTCCTCAGGAAAAAGAGGAGGACTGGCAGCAGTTAGCTCAGGGATAATCTTCCTCAAAAAAAACCAAAACCCAAAACCCAAAAACCAAAACCATGTAAAACAAAACTCAGAGTGCTTAGCCAGTATAATAATTGAGAGATTTCCAGAGTAAAAACTTCAGAAAAAAGATTACAATGAGAGAAAACCAAAATTTCCAAGTCAGTAAATAAGAGGAAAACAAATGATAAAACCACATTCCCATCCTTTCCCAACTATTTATTCTGACTCCATAAGATACTGATGTCATGCTGGCTTCCTGTGAATCTACTCTTTAAACTACATAAAAAGAGACATTCTTTAATGGGGAAGGGGCTAATAATACAGTGAGCTTGTAAATCTTCTTTTACCGAGTTTACATAAGAGAAAATTACTACTGCACTATCTTAACCACTTATCTCCTGCTCTTGGAATGCAAACTAGCAGTTAATGAAATAAATTCTTTAATTATAAAAACGAGCTCAAAGTTGAAGGGTATTAAGTTATACCTGAGAGTTCAAGTTTGCTCCAGGAAGCCCAAGTGCAGCAAGGGCAGGATCAAGAGTAGGAGCTCCCAAAGCAGCCAGTGGAACAGCGCCAATCTGTGAGATTACAAATTTTATTTATTTAAAATTTCATTTCTGTTCATTATACCAGGGGGTGAACTTTTTCTTTTCCTCTAAAGGGCCAAATAATAACGAGTTTAAGTCTGTAGGCTATGTGGACTCCGTTGCAACTACACAACTATGCCACTGTAGCTCGAAAACAGTCCTAGACAACACATAAACAAACAGGCATGGTTGTGTTCCAATAAGAATTAACAAAAATGGGGGTCTGGCCCAAGCCCTATAGTTTGCCTACCCCTGCCATATACGCTGGCCACATTTTTCACTCATTACAGCACATTTATCCCTAAAATCAGAATTTAGAAAACATACAAAACTTTTCAATACATTCTAGTGCCAATTCTATTTATTGCTTCTCCCCTCCAAATCTACTGTTCAGTGTCTGCTTTGTGATACCGAAAGCAACACCCTTATTTCTCCTTTGACAACCGACATGATGTTAAGCTTTATCCATAGGGGGAGCTGAAAGGACACTAATTGTGGAAGGGGTTTCTCTTCCTGGTTCCTATGTCCCATCTCTGACTATTATTGCAGTACTATATGGGATATCCAGCGGCCTTCGCCTCTCAGGGAGTTTCAGTGGCATCCTCTTGGGTAGCTTCCTAGCAATTTCTGTGGCCCCCAAAGAACTTCCCTACTATCCACCCTTTCAAAGGAGGTCTGAACCTTAGCCTCGAGGGGGAAGTGGAGGTCCCTTTCATCTAAATGTTCTTTCCTGTGTTCTTTCTGTCTCAGCGCTAGAAGTAATTGCTTCCTATCCCTGAAATTCCTGTATTCATTAGGCTTCCCCCAGTAATCTGTTACTAGTAAACTTTTCCTGTTCAAATTGCTGTGTGGTTCTGTCTCCTGCCTGACATAATTCTGAGTAATCGATAATTTAATAGACACGAACCATGCAAAATCCTATAGCCTTTGGAGGCAGTTTGACCTTCTTTATAAGCACTCTGCTAAAAGTTCTCCTAGTTTCAATTAATATTGAGTAAATATAAGGTATCAAACTTTCTGTAATTTAACTGTTCACTGAGTCCAGTTAAAATACCATGTTAATACTACTACAAAAATGGCTATCTTAGTTATTACACAATTTTATACATCAAAGGTATCTACAAATTATCAAGATCCTCATTTTATAAGTAAAAAAACCCCTAGAGATTAAGTAACAAAGTCATACTGAAAATTCCTGATCTCATTCTCTAAGACACTGTTCAGTTCACTTAATAGTTAACTGAACTATTTGGACAGGCAAAATGATATAACAGAAACACTGCTATAAAGTTCAAGGTGAAGTTCATCATTTGCTATCATCTGTGAAACCACTGACCAATTACAATCTGAGTGGTTACAATATATGATATTTAAAGAGTCTTTTAGTTCCAAAATAATATGCTTTTTACAGCATTCTCAGGGTTAGAAACATCACCCAGTAAAACTTTTCACCAACTTTATACTTCATCTTCTCTGTATCAAAAATCTCCATCAAGAATTCATCTTCATTTCAAGCTACCTACTTAATTCAAACCCCAAGATAAGAGCAAAAGATCACAGGACGTTGAGAAAGAAAAAAAGAAAAAAACCCAGAAGTCTGAATTTCACATTTATTTTCTTTCCTGAGGCAAATGAACATACTATTTTAACAGTGTGTTCAACAGAAGTCTATGCCTCATGAGATTCTGTTTCACACAGTTACTTATGGGTTAAGAGCCAGTGGCAAAACCAGTATCACAGGTATTTATAATTTTCAGAATGTTCTAAAAATGCAAACTTCTAAGAGATTCTCTTTAGTACTTATGATTACAATATAGCCTTTTATAATCTTGTGCACATGTGCTATCACTCTGGGAACTAGTCACAACAACACTTCAGAAGCTCAAATATGTTTAGCTATATCCACAATTGTGTTCCTTTCCATCCTTTAAGAATTCAACAGAATTAGTACCTGGGTAAGTGGGTTAGGGGTAGGCAGGAGTCCACCACCAGGCAGAAGACCTGCCACTGCATTAGCTGGTGCCAACAGAGACAAAGCCTTAGTCTCATCAGGAATAACTCCTGCAGGGAAACATCCTTGCATTAGAACATACTCTTTTCCAAGACAGAAAACACACAAAAACACCCAGAAAATGTCTCCCTGATACACCACCTGAGTTTGTTGAAAGTACTTATGTTCGCTAAAATATAAAGCTTGATTTCTATGATTATTTATCATTAATTTTATGTCAGAATGAAACTTCAATGTGTGAAAATTTGTTTCCTTTTTCTCTACAAATGGTTAAGTTTCTAGAGTAAAAAAAAAATAGCACAATACACACTACTTTTTTGTTAACACTGCCAAGATTTCATCACCTGTACTCGATTTTTAAGTCATGAACCAAACGTAAGCAAGCACAGTCGGTTCTCCAGGGGTGTGCTCTCAACTTTCAAAAGCTGTTTTATGAACAACGACTCGTGTCGGCTGCTTCACTATAAAGCACACAGAAAAATCAAGATACACAAGACAAAAAAAGTTTGATTTAGGGGTTAATAATATGGTACAGTTACTATGATTTTCTTTTACACCTACCATACAAATTTCGTAAAAATTAAGAGAAGAAAAGTACGTAAAGGAAATATTCTGTTGGAATCAAGGGTAGGGCTTTTGCTGACTCATGAAAACGAACATGAACGTTTCTGAAGGTCTCTGAATACACACGGGATGTGTGTGTGGGAGTGAGTGAGAGAGAAAGAGAGAGAATAGGTAAAACAACATGGCACATTCCTTACCTGTACAGTAAAATGCTCTATGTTCCAACATGTGCCATGCTAACCATACCAAAAAATGCTGCTATACAGTGTCAGTTCAAAAGCTAACTTAGCCAAACTCCTAAAGCCAAAAACGACATGTGTGTCTGTTTTTAAAGCCTAATCTGTGTATTCAGATAAAAACTAAGGGTCCTAAGACAAATATTTATGCAGACAATTTAAATTCTATCCAACAGCAAAAGCCCTATACAGATGGATTAAGCTGTTAATGTGCCCAAGCCCCCAAAATGAGAGTTCAATAATACAATTAAACTACATATTTGTAAATACCAGTAGTATTTCTGTAATACATATTAAGAAACTGCATCTCATCATAAAACATACAATATGTACAGGGCACTTAAGAGAAACTGGATAAGCTGCAGAAGAAAACTGTTGGGTGGTATTTTCAGCAGGGCCTGGTATATAGTTCAGGCTGAACCAGGGAAAAGAACTGTAAAACACAACAACAAAAAAGAAAAACCACTGTTAAATAAAGGTAATGGTTCCTTCCACCTATACTGAGAAGTGCCGATAATATAAACAAATGTATACTACACAGCACTGTTATCTTGCTTGTGTCAGAGCTGCCATCAATTTAGATACCAAGAGTTATGGAGGGGGAGTGGGGAGAAGATCATTTAGATATAGGGCAGTAATGCATTAATATTAACAAACCTTCACAGATTATGGGATAATTTTGCATGCAAAATTATGTCTCAAGAGGATAATATTACTTATCAACATCTTACTCAAATTAGTGCATTTGCAACATTTCTGGCAAACTAAAATCCTCTTGAATTTACTGTGAGACACCTGATAGAAGATCTGCATCCATTAAAAAAAAGTCATGCATCTGATCCTCTGATTTAAAAAAGACTATTTAAAAATAAAACTACAATTTAAAAATAGCAATGAGGCCCCTCACCAGTTAATTTTCATGCGTCAAGAGTATTTTTTTTACTGCTGCTTTGATAGAACCATGAAATACTGCATGAATGTGTAGAAATGAAAGAAAAAGAAACAGACAAAAGAAACAAACATTAACCAAGGAACCTAAATCACCCCCAAATCCATTACTATTAAGAGTTCCTTCCAAATCCAGCCATCTCAGTTTTTACCAATTAAGACTATTCCTTACCGTAGACTTTGTGTCTATTGTTCTAAAACGCTGACCAAGAACCAACACCAAAGTCTAAGAGCTAAAACTAGGGTGAATGGTGACAAAGGGATTGAATACATCAGTTATTTCGTGGAGATAACATTAATACAGCATACCATACCAGAAAGTAAATACAGCAAAAACAGATTCTGGAACTAACTATTTCTGTTAATTCTACATATACATCCGAGTATATCACTTTCAAAACAGATCCAGAAAAGTTACTACAGCCTACAAATATTTATGAAAGCCAGTTATATGATATACTGTATTATGTTCAGGCCTTGGGAACTATGACATAATACTTAGCCAATAAAACACTTTAAATTTAAAGGCTAATGCTTTGCACATTACTCACATATTTGACCCTTGTTCGAAAAACTATGATCTATATATTACTTATCCTAAATGTGAATTCTGTAAATTTTCTCTTGGAGGTAAGTCTTATCCTACAAGAGGCACAGTGATATAAGAAATTGCTTAATCACAACACAGTAAGTCAAACGTTTATCAGCATATATATTTTAAAACCTTAAACTGGGCTCACACACTTTAATACCAAGGAGATAGACGTACGGTTATTATACAGCATGCCTTATCCCATCTACAAATGCAATTTAATTTCTTTAGAAAACCAGAGAAGCAATTTTTCTAAGTTTTAAGAATTAGACATTTCACAACGTTTATAAGGTATGGGGTAAATGTTCACATCGATATTCAAAGATCTGAGATAGCATCTAAAGTTAACAACATCACGATTCCACTTCCACTGACCGGTTCATTAAGGAAAGGGGAAAGCATTTAAATCCTGGTCAGTAAATATGTTAAATTAACTTCAAATCCAGTGATTTTATCATATTCAGTGATTTCTTTGATCAGAATTTATAGTTACCAAAAAGCAAATAAAGTAGCAGTACATCGGGAACAAATTAATTATAAAATATGCCTTAAAAAGTTTTACAAAATTGAATTAAAATAGTGCTGTCTTGTCACAGTGGCTATTTTAGATCCAAAAACCCTGCTCATTATTTTTCTGTCAAATTACTTTAACATAAGCCTAAAATGTAAAAAGAGAGAAAATGTAGTTAACAAATGGTTACACCAGGAAAACACTTGGGGACTTGAGTGCTCGCTGGCCTTTAGTTAATGTCTAGAATCCCCTGTGGCTGCAGAGGACCCACTGTTTTTCAGTCATCTGGAAGAGTTTTGCATTTGCCTTCTCCACTACAAAAATCACACACACAAATAACAGAGAGAAGAATTTATTATTTAGAGATATTCTAGAAAATATAGCATGAATGAACAAGAAAATCTGGCATAAAAACAAAACACCCAGTGCCCATCTGGCACCTAAGCTATAGGAAATTTTGAACTTTCATAAAAACCAAATCATTGCAACCCTTGGTATACTGGAACTCAACATGGGAATTTTTTTTTAAGTTATCAGTGAGAGGAAGCACTAAGGAAATAAAACTCACCTAGTCGTTTCTTCGAAACAGAAATAACATGCATTTATTTGAAGGTTTCTGTGTAAATATGCATGGAGTGAACCATTCACCTTCAGGACTTTTTCATAAAACTCAAACATTAAATTAACTAAATAGATGTATCTTAAGAAAATAGAATAAGGGACACAGTTTTAATGAACTTAAAAATGTTTCCAAAGAATGCAAAAGGTTAAATATCTTATAAAAACAAATCTGATTTCTAATTTTTAGGATTTAAAAAAATCTGCAAGTAAAAATAGGGACCACAGTATAACAAGGGTTTCAAAATGTTAATAGCTTAGGTTTTTAACATGCTACTAACGCTCACTCTAAAACTATACTGAGGTAGATGGTCATCATAGGATGCCCAGATAGGTAGTTAAACAAAGCACAAACCTTCTGCATATGGTACGACTATCAAAGCTCTGTCAACGAACACAGTGTTTGTCAGATGCTGAGCCACAACTGCTGAGTCGGGATCATGGAACTTAACAAAGCAGACACGAGATGAGACAGGCAAAGGTGAATCACTAAAAAATAAACAAATAACATCAAAAAAGAGAAAAATAATATCAGGTAAAACACAAGTGTATGATTCAAAAACCAATACTTCTATTCCAAAAGTAAAACAGGCAGATAAAAATACATAACTGTACATATATTAGTTTAGTTAACCAGTTCAAAAGAAAACCACAATTCAAATAAAGGACTACCCACTGAGCTAGTGTAGCAAACTGCACGTAGACAAAAACAATCACTGTTTAAATTTACAGTGTATCAAGTTAAAAACAGTTTGAAACTAAACTCTCAGACTTCCAGCAGACCACAAAAATGTCAATGCTTTTTTTCATAATACCAGTACCAGCTATTTTAAAATGCAGATAACAAGAAATTATTTTTGGCTTAGAAAACTTTTCACTATAGCTGAATTTTCAGAATAAAAAACGTGAAGAATTTTCCACTTCAGGGACAAAAGAATATTGTGGGGAAGTGCATCTACTGACAGTCAGTCAGTTTTCTTGACCTGACTACTAAATGCCCTGCCCTCTTTCACCTCCGGTGTATTATAACTCCCAGGCATTATAAATAATTAAGGCTTTCTTGTGTAGAGTACTTTCAGAGAGGAAAAAAAAATTAAGCACACATGGGGACAGTACTCCACTCCTGCTACTACCACGCATAATTTCCATAACCAAGAGCCACTTCCCTCAGCACACTGCCTTCTCAGGTAAAACAAAACCAAGTGCTAAAGAGCGAGTGATGGCAGCGTAAGTGGGACAGATGAGGCAGGGAGCAGAGTTTTTGTCGTTTTTTTCTTTACATATGGGGTGGTTCAAACTTCTGTCAAGAAATTCTCTGTGAAAGGGAAAGATTAAACAAATAAAGGCATGGGGTTGCTCCCTAAGCCCAAACCAAAAGTTATTTGAAAACCCATGCCCTCAGGCAGTAGTAATCACATCATCCCTGGTTATACATTGAAATCATCCTGGAAAAAAATTATGTAGGCGCTGCACTCCACATCAATTAAATCAAGATCTCTGATGAATGAAGTACTGAGTGGCTCCTCTTCCTGTATTTTAATTCTCCCTGACAATTGTAACATGCACCCAGGGTAAAGAACCACTGCTTTATTATAACGTCAATTACATCTTAAGACTCAATAACGAAAAGGGAAATCCTACAACATATTTCAACGTGACTAGAATGGAGCTTCTTGTTAACTTTTCTAATAAATGAGATGTTCCAGTACACATAAAAATCTAATTACATCAGGTTTGGTTACACTAGGTATTACAGAGACAGTATTTGTTGTTGAAAAGAAAATTTCCTCATAATTTGGGCACTAACATGAAAATAAAAACTTCGGGGCCAGCCCAGTGGCGCAGCAGCTAAGTTCACACGTTCTGCTTTGGCAGCCCAGGGTTCCCTGGTTTGGATCCCGGGTGCGGACATGGCACCACTTGGCAAAGCCATGCTGTGGTAGGCGTCCCACATATAAAGTAGAGGAAGATGGGCACGGATATTAGCTCAGGGCCAGGTTTCCTCAGCAAAAAGAGAAGGATTGGCAGAAAGCAGTTAGCTCAGGGTTCATCTTCCTCAAAAAATAAAAATAAATAAAAAACAAAACACTTCTTATGTTGAGGACTACACGAAACTATCTATATAATCTAAGAACTCAAACTCTATAATTTATGTTAGAACTTCTAATATGTTTCCCTAAAGGCATCACCCATACTAAGCACAGATCCTAATCTAAGTTCAAAGCAAAGTTGACAATACATGCTAACGGAATTTCAGCCATCTTACTGCTAAATGTTTCTGAAAAGACAGCATTTTTTAAAGGGAAGCACTACAGATCTAGGGTCTAAACTTTAACCATTTGCACCCCGAATAGTGGAAAAGAATGCCTTTTCAGCAGTTTCAGTACTAACGTTGTAACACTCTGTATTTCTTTTCTGACAGCCATATTTTTACCACTAAATGAAAAACCTCTTAAAATACCGCTATCATTCTATGTTAACACCTAACAGAATGCCCTGGGAAGTAACAGGCACTCAAATTTCTTAAAAGGTCACCTCTACCATTTCTTTGACACTATCTATTGTCATCTGACTAAAAGAAAAATCACTAACAAATATTAGGTTCTTAAAGAATATAAACATAACAGTTCTTTTTAAAAAATGAGAAAGTACTGCCTGTGTGCTCACAGTGTACTTCCTTCCATTTACTTGGTCATCTTAAAATGATTCATATTTTTTCTACCCACTCATGTCACAGGAGTGCAGCAACTATTACTTTGGCTGTATCAAACCTGTAAGCAGTTGTGAGGTAAAGATTAATATATGAATAATTTAAATACCATGGAAAAGACAGCCTCAACAAGACAACTCAGAAAGGCAAATAATGCATCTCTCCCCACTTAAAATGCTCCTGTGTAAAAACATCACTATTTGGCCTCACAATTATATTCTTATACTTTCTCAGTTAAGATTAATAAAAAACATGTTAATATAAGATGGAGGACTGATGCCTAAAATTAATTTTCACACCCTAGAATTCTGTGCAAGTAAAGTACCACGTCTAAAAACATACTTGTGTTTACTCCTTTAGTATAGTATATTTTCAGAATTAACATAGACGAGGCAGGGCAGTTGAAAAGAACAGATGTGAGATGGGGAAAAGTGAGCCAATGATGCTTGTGCCCTTTACCTAATGTTTCTAATGTTTCCTAAAGTGTCCTTAGTCTAAGGGTTGTTTCAGAATCTTCTGGGGGTGCACATAAAAAATTCAGATTTCTGTTGTCCATCTCATGCCCAGAGAATCTGAGAATCCTTTTTATAAGAGGGCTCTGAGTCTCAACAAGATCCCCAGTTGACATTTGTGCCCACTGAGGTATGAGAATTTCTGGTTTAGGCCATGGATATCATTCTTTCAACTCCTACCTTAATACTGTGCTAACCATTTCCGAGCGGAGAATTTTGAGCTTATAAACAAAGGGAATCTCCTAAGCCTCTCAAAATAGCAGGTGTGTGACAAAAGTAATATGCACCTGAAAACTTGAGTCTGTTGACCTCATATGCCCCCTCTTTCACTGTGTTCTTATTCATTTCTAAAGAAATATAGTAAAGTGCTGTATTTAGTAAAAAAAATTTTTTGAGGTAACCTAAGTTCTCTCCCTTATCTAACTATACTGTTACTTATATAATCATCAAAGTATCTATTTTTGGTCACTGAAATAATTACTTAATCCATTATTTAAATAACAAATTTAAATTTATCTGCAGTGTTACAGTAGCCTTCAGTCACTGTGTAACTCTGGCACAAGTTTCACAGGGTTCATTACCAGATGAACACTCCAGTTAGTCTCCATTCTGAAATTCCACTGAAACCAAACTAGTTCTGACACTGGGAGAGTGGCTTGGGCGTACAGAACAACGTATGCGAATGTCAGTTCAGCCATTCGTAAAATAGGGTAAAATACATTCTTCCTCTGGATTTGTAAGGACTGATTAAGGTAAAATAGGAAATCATCTAGCATACAATAGACACTCAATGCTGAATGTCCAACGTGCGTTTCAGGAACCACTAGAATCAAAGTAACTGTTTTTCTTCTAAAGAGAACGGGGCCAGGCCGGTTGCACAGTGGTTAAGTCACACGCTTTACTTTGGAGGCCTGAGGTTCGCAGGTTCGGATCCCGGCACAGACCTAGCACCCCCCATCAAGCCATGCTGTGGCGGCATCCCATGTAAATTAAAGGAAGACCGGCACAGATGTGAGCTCACTGACAAACTTCCTCAAGCAAAAAGAGGAAGATTGGCAACATGTTAGCTCAGGGGCAATCTTCCTCACACAAAAAACAAACAGATAAAATAAAAAGAGAGAATAAATGAGGGGAACACTGACAGATGCTTTCAAACAGCTCTAGGGCTGACATACTGAAGAGACAGAATATTATGTCTTGTGAAGACAGACAGTATTATCAGTGGATGAAATTACAGGCCAGCAATTTTCAGCTGAAAAGAACCAAGAGATAAATGGATCCAATAATGAAAAAAGGGGAGAAATCTTGAGGAGGTTGTCACTGAAATGCTTGGCATAATCCCAGGTCCTATGATTTTCTTCCCTCAAAACAGGCATTTAGAACTGAAACGAGTTTCAGTAGGTGTGGGCTGGGGCTCCGTTATACATGTACTTTAAACATTACCCCCCAGGTTAATGTTGATGACCTCAAGGAATCTCAGATTCTAGAAGAGGGAAGAAGTTAAACTTAACCTGTCAGTTTGTGGCAAGCACTATAGAGAAAAACAAACCAGTTAAGTTCAATAGAGAAGGAAGGGAGCAGGGGTGCTGTATTTTTATATAGAGCGATCAGGGAAGGCTTCTCTCATTAGCGACGTTTGAGTAACCAAAGAAACTAAGCATGTCATGGGTCTATCTAAGAGAAAAGAGTTCCAGGTGGATATCAACGCCTTTTGAGGGGAAAAAAATATACACACACAGAACCCATAAAAAAATCAAGTGGCAAATGTGTTCACAATAGTCAGAATGTTATGTAATCTGAGCCATTCAATCTTATTCTCTGAGTAAGAGAAAAATTTTTGGAATAGTTTTGGAATGATGAATCCTTTTGGACTACTAGGATTCCACAGCTCATTATTCCTAGCAAGCTACTGCTGAAAGCTGTGACAAGCTTAAAGAAATTTCAGCAAAGCGTTTTCAAATTGTGTAGATCAGGTTAGCTGAGACTTAAATTAGTTAAAAAAAAAAAAAAAAAGAAAGAAGAAAAAATCAACATTAAATGAACAAAAGTAAGCTTCTACATATCTACTATTCAAATCAGTAAGGCCACTAATGTAATATAACATTCACTATATCACAACCTTGTACATTTTCAGAAGAGAATGATTTGTACATGGTGAGTCAAAGACCCAAATTGTGTCAATATTTCTCTCTTCCTCCAAATAGAGGGAAAGGAATCCTCTTAAAGCATAGCACCCCCAGATCATGCTTTCTGGTACATA